TGTCTTTATAAATAATCTTTTAATGTTGTGTTTGGATTTAAGGGAATTTGGTACCGCTTGGATACACAATTCTATGGATTTAGATTTGATTACAATTTTTTTATAATTTTAAATTTTCTCTACATTTTAATCATTTGAATTTTAGTCACTTTAGACTTATTATTCTTTTTGCATTTTTATTATTGATACCTCTATTACTTTTGCATCTTTCCTCATATCTCATTTTCATTTCTTGTAGTTTAAAAATACGTGTGCTCATCTTCTAAATTTTTTTAATACATCAAAACGAATTGGTGAAATGACAAAAAAGTTCCAATTATTTTGCTTTCAATATAAATGTCTAAATAGATTTATAAGGAATTTGTGGTGGGTCAGTCCTTTATTTCATCTAATATAAAATTAAATTTAAACATAAATGTTCAATAATTAATTAATATGCTTGAAACTGAACTTGAAGGAAACATGAATAATTAAAAATTCAAAAAATAAAGTTTATAGTATAAAAAAATATTTAAATATATTTTTATCATTATTCACATCATTTATAGAGTTATTTTAAAGAACAGTTACAACATTCAGTTTTACTTTTACTTTTCTTTAAGCACGTAATTGCATTGGAGAGTACAAAGCTCATGATCATCTTTACGTGGATCACGCTTTAAGTTTTATATATCAACAAATTTAAAAACCTCAACAAACAAGTTGTCTGTTAGTAAAAAAATTGAAGAAAAATATGAATAAAGAATGTCTTGGGAATACAAGAATGTCCAGTTTCTTGGGCTTTTATCATATTCAAACTATATTTAATTAATTTCTTCATTGGGCCATTCTTTCCTAAAAATCTATTTAAGTGAAGCCATGACAAAGCTCTTCTTCTTAGTCATATATGAGTATTTAGTTTCTTGTTTAATGAAAGCTCTAGAGTTGAACAATACCTTTATAAGCATAAACTTGTGCAGAAGATGTGAAGAAATGAGTTTGTTGATCTCATTAATGGTATTTTTACTCGCACTCTAAACATTAAAATCCTATCATGGATGACCACCTGCTGCAACTGCACGTTGGAGTCATTTGTGTGCAAGCAAGCCTTCATATATCAGAAGCAGAGGTTGATTGGCCGGTGATGATCAACTATGGCTTCTGTGTCGTCGATTCAAGTACGATTTTTCATTTGATTTTTTACTATTTTGTCTTTGCCTTTATATCATTTGTGTGTGTACGTTTTTTCTCTTGATTCTTACATTTTTTTCTCTTGATTCTTACATTTTCCACTATTTTAATTTGCCTTTGATTTTTCACCGTTTTTCCTTTGCCTTATCATCCATCTGATGCCCCGACCTACATACTTCCAATTATTTTTCTATTTTTTCTTTTGATCATTATATTTGAAGTGAAATGACATTTTGACTTCTTATAAAACAGTGTAGTTTTGCAATTACTTTTTTATTACAATTTTTCAAAGAAAACAAACAAAAACTGCACAATTTTAGTGTTTTTCTTGAAAAAAATCATAAAAATAAATTATAATCATACCATTTCTTACCGTAAGATATCAAAATACATCTCATTTTATGTAAAATATAAGAATCAAAGGAAAAAGAAAAAGAGAAAAACAGTTGAAAGGTGGGGGTACTAGAGGGTGGATAGGACACTGGGTTTTGCACTAGCTAGAGACACAAGATTATTCATGAGCCTTTAATAATTGTAAGTAACTTAATTAACCTTTAGATTTATCAGAACCATGACAATTTTATCTTCTTTGTAATGGATAAGATGTTCCATCCATTCGCATTCTGTGTCAGGAATCAAAGTGCCTGTGAAAAAGCATCATTGTCTTTGTTTGATAGAAAAGTTCAGCCATAAGGAGCTAGCAAGGAGCTAATTCTGAAGCTTATTTCAGTTCAAATTATTTGTACCAAAATTTGGGAAGCAACCATTATTGAAGATTCCATGTCAATATTACTACCAGAAGAAAAGTTTCAATGTTTGCTACGTCAGGGCCCGCTAGAATAAGTCAGAAAATGCAAGTAATGACATTTAGTTTCTTCTATCTTATGTCGCCTGATTGATGTTATTAACAAGACATATAATCCAAGCATAGCTACGATCAATTTTATTTTTTGTTGCTTTCAAATTTCTTTTAATGTGTTTGTTTGGAGTGTGAGAGAAGTTAATGCTTATATATTTTGATTAATACATGGCTTACAATGAAGCTTTATATTTGATATTGATATTTTATATCAATGTTTATGTATGTCAATTTTTTATATATACTAGATTTACGGGATATTTGTAAGTTGGCTTTTGGGAGAATGTCAACTTAGGACCTTCTACAAGAAGGTTAATGCTAGCTAGATCAAACTTTTTTAAAGATTTTCTATGTTGGAACATACTAAATTTAGTAACTTAAGTTATGATTATGAGATCATGAATTTTAAATATTTTCTGTGTTGGAACATACTAAATTTAGGAACTTAGTTATGATGATGAGATCATGATATCATATTAAGTCTCCTATAAGGTCCTTAATTGTTATTTTTCTTTAGTTGTTTGATCAAGTTTCCATTGTTTATATAATAATGTCCAGATCAAATGTCATAGATGAGCATAGAGTAAAACTTTTCCATGGTACTAAAAACAGACAGTAAATTCTTTCCAACTAAATTATTACATGTGCAAGAGTTTGGATTTAAACTCCCAACTTTTTGTGTAAATAATGATAATTAAAACTAAATTATTTCGTGTACTTAGACTTCTTTATAAAACTTTTAAAAATCATCTTGAAACTAATAATACATATTTTAACAAAATCTTAAAAAAGACACTTAATTACATGATTACCATGAGTCTATATCTAGCACATCCTAATTAAATTTAAAGGGACATAGGGCCTGTTGGACAATCTATTTTGGGAATAGCTATTTGTTCTCGAAAATAAAAAATAAAAAAATTTATTTGGTAATGTATTTTTAAAAAGTATTTTAGAGAATAAAAAATAAGATATTGTTTTGGAGAATAGGAAAATAAAAACATAATTTTGGTATTTTGGAATTATTATTCTGTAGAAGAAGGAAAAATAAAAAAAATAATTACTTTCATTATTTTTTTATTTTCAGAACATGTTCTACAAAATACTAATTTTTAAAAAAAATAAAATAAAAATAATTTCAAACAAGCTCATAATCTTTACTAGTCTCTCACATTGACCATTTAGGTAGATTACAAAATGGGACCGAAGTAAAAGTAAAATATAAGAAATGTAATAATTAAGGATGAAAGTACATTAAAAATTATTATAGAAGAAAAGAGGAAAAATTTCAATTATCTCAATCATCTCGTTCTATTCATGATTATACTATTGATGTCTCCTGCCCTAGTTGCTCTTGCATTTGTTTCATCTCTCATTCTTGTTTTTTGCATAGTAAAGGTAAATTCATTACTGTTGGATGATTTTACATATTAGGAAATAACATTTGTCTCTAGATATTAATTTGTAATTTATAAGATCTCATCAATATTAATTTTCTTATAGAGTATCTATTTGTAATTTTCTAAGTCTTCTTCTTATAATTTTTAAGTCATTTTCCAAATTTTGTTAGGTAAATTAATAATTAAAGTTAATATCTTTAAAGGTTAAGGTTCAATATTGTTTCTATACTTATTTTTTAGGAACATTGGACACCCTATACTCTTAAATAGGATAATTTTTTTTCTAAAGTATTTTTTTTCAAAGTCCAAAAACATCATTCTATTAGGAGGCTATTAACTTTGTTATTTTCTATTGGCGTAGCATGTGCATGGAGCTTACGCACAGTAATAGATACTTTAATCAAGTCTTTTAGAGCTAATTTGCTTGTATACTCTTTTTCAAGAGCGTTAAGCACTTTAAAGTTTTTTTTTAAGAGCACTAGGTACCATAAAATCTTATTACAATAAAATTATTAAATATTGCCAAAATATTAAATAATTTTCATATTTAATAATTTAAATATTATTATTTATAAGTATTTATTTAAAATTTATAAATTATTTTTTAAATATTAACAACTCAAACTAAGATTTTATAAATTTATAGATAACTTGTTTTTTTATATATCAATCTTCAATATTTTTTTGAGACAATGCCCAAATTGTTATACCTTTTATGTGTATTGAAACTTACACATATTTGTAATATTGGTTAAGTTTCTTCAATTTTTAGGTTATTTTTTGTAATTTTTTTAGTCAACTAATGATTTTTATCTAAAATATTATACTATTTAAATTTAATGCTTCCTATACGTTGCAGCGTTAGGAGTAAAATTAAAAACATGACAAATCAGGATCAATAATATGCCAACAAAAATACTTATTTGAAAGATATCGCTTATTTCTTTATTGTAATACAAAAGATGAAAAAAAGAATTCCTTGTTAATTTAGAGATTTATTCTCTTCATTTTTAATACAAAATTATAAAATATTAAAATATTAAGTTGAGTGGTGTAATATTTTAAATAAAAATATTTAAATTATTAAATATTAAAATACTAAATATTTTAACAATAATTATTAAATTTTATTTTAACAAAACTTCAAGATGCCCAATGTTCTTGAAAAAAAGATTTTACAGTGCTTAGTAATTTTAGAAAAAGAGGTCAAGGGCTAATTAACACTAAAGAATGTGATCAAAGTCTTATATGTCAATGCATATGGGCTCTAAATCAATAGAAAACAGAAAAAATAATGGTTGACTAATAGAAGATGGTTTTTACTTCTCGAAAAAATAGTTTAAGAATAAAATTACTCTATTTAAGAGTATAAAATATCCAACTTTAACCTTATTTTTAATAGTACGAATAATATACTGTATTATTTTTAATTGTTAAAAGAGAGCATTGGACTACAGAAATGTTTAGAACGCCACAGAAAATATTTTAAGGCCTGTTTAGACATTTAATGTTTAGACCTCCATCAATATAGCTTGAACAGGCCAAGTTTAAGGCCTGTTTAGAGATTTATCGTTTATCTTGTAATTACTCTTTTCTGCTAGGTTTATTAGTTTCATTTCCTTCTCTTGCCCTAGGATTTCAGGCGGCGTACCAGTTCCTGACTTCCAACTCCGCTCTCTAGTCTCCATTGTCCACTCTTCAGATCTCCTTCGATCGTCTCTTCAGCTGCTTCCCCTTGGAAACTCCAGAGTCTAGACTCGCCGTTCTCCTTCAGCTACTCCACTCCTGATTCGGTAATTCCTCCATTGTCGTTCCCTTTGGATTTTTGGAAGGTCCAGTCACCGTTCTCCTTCGTTCGAAGCTCCAGACTCGCCGTTCTCCTCGGTTCCCTTGTGCGATCGCTTCTACAACTCCATCTACTTTGATCTCGCGTTTTCATCTCCAGTCGCTCGTGCTCGTCCTTCAGGTTTATCCCCTTACACTGTTCTGCTCGTTCTCGCAGTTGTTGGCTTGTTCATTTGTTGGATTATTGTCTTCTGATGGCTGATTTGTATGGGTTAATCTTTTGATTTTACCTTGTTGCTCTGATCTGCGATTGTTTAGATATATTATATATTGTGTTGGTGCGTTCTCCTTCTTTCTTGTTTGTTTGTTTGTTTGTTGTGTGGTATTGTTTCTAGCCTTTTTTTTTTTAATGGAGAAAGCAAAATTAGCGAAAAGATAAGCTTGGTCCTACCTTCTTGAAGGGTGTAACTACATATTCGCGATCACGAGAATGTAATCTCATTCTTCTGAATCTCAGTCATGTTAAGTCCTATGTATCAACAAAAAAGCTTTTAAACAAGTTCTCTATTGTTGAAAATTGACGAAAAAATGTGATCAATATTCAAAATCCAATTGTTTTTTACTTTCATGAAAAAGTCAAAAAAAAAAAAAAAGAAATTTACGAGGTGGATCATTCATTTACTTCCCTCTAATATAAAATTAGTGTCAAACATAAATCTTCAATAGATAGTCTTTTTGAAACTGAAGTTGAAGGAGTCATGAATCATTAAAGAAAAAAGAAAGTTAGTTTCCACACCATTCATTGGGTCACATTGACGAACAGTGACAGTATTCAGTTATATTTTTGTCCTTGTTTGAGCATCTCCTTTATCTGAGTCACGCTTTAAGTTCTATATATCAACAAATTAAGAAATTAAGCTCAACAAACAAGTTGTGTGATAGTTAAAAATTTGAAGAAAAATGTGAATAATGGTCAGTTTCTTGGGTTTTTATTGTCATTCAACACAATCCACATGAGCTTGCCATGATCGAGTATTTATATTCAAAAAAATATTTATTAATTTCTTGGTCTGTTATATTGTGAAAAACTATTTAAGCAGTGAACATTCATCAAGACATCAAACAAGTGTAGCTTCGTAGTTTCTCTCAACCCATGCCAAAGCTTCTCTTACTAGCCATATATGAGTTTCTTGTTTGATAAAAGCTCTTGAGTTGAACAATACCCTTATAACCATAAACTTTTGCAGATGCGAAGAATATGAGCTTGATCATAGTAATCAGTATTTTTACTCACATTCTAAACATTAAAATCCCATCATGGATCCTGGAGCTCACCAACGCCAGAGCATGCATTTAGACTCAAAAAAATGGAGCTCACCAGCACCAAACCATGCATTTAGACTCAAATGGCAGGGGCAGAAGTACTTACAAATAGCCTACTATTTCATATTGACAGTGGGGTTCAAATCTGCAGCCTAATAGATTATGGGTCATTGGACTTGGAGGCATGTCCTAGTCCTGGTAAGTTTCTCGTACCTAACTCACCTAAATTTTATTTTACAAAAGAAAAAAAAAAAACTCCAATATTCTAAGTCCAAGCTTGAAAAAATGACTTTTGTGGGTAGTTCAATGGACCTGACTCATATACCCAGCTCTATGTTTTTTTTGGATTCCATTGGATGCGTTGGATTTAATTTCTGATCTCTACTAGATTTGTGGGTTTGAATATTCCCTTTTCAATCTTATTCATGTTGATTGTTTTCTTATCTTCATCCTCTTCATTCATTTGCCTTCTAGTTATACTATCTCTTCCCTTTTATTCCTAGAATATCGCGTTTTAGAATTGTGCAAAAATCAGAACAAACCCATGACAATTTGGGTCATTGGCTTGGCTGAGGAACTGACCCATGCATACCTCTAATGCATAACTATGGTGGAGAACACATCCATCTTTTTGTTCGTTTGAAGTTTGCTCTAGGTGCTTTCCAAAATGAAGAAAGGTCAAGGTTAGTGGTTGTCTGATTGTAATATCGGTAAAAATAACTAGTCAGTTCATCAAAGGAATAGTTTAAAGGAGAAAAATTTCCTTCTTTTTCTTTGTGCTTTCGTCATAAATTTCTAAAAAATTAAGGAGTTTGTGATCAGGTGGATCACTCATTTACTTTGGCTCAATACAAAATTACTATAATCATAAATGCTCAACCAATAGTCTGTTGGAAATTGAAATTAAAAGAAGACGTGCTAATGGTTAAAGGAAAACGTAGTTCATAGTATAAAAGATATATAGGTTCAGTTGCTTTCATCATCCTTCACGCCATTAATAGGCTCAAATTGAGGAGCAGTTATATGGATTGCTTTATTTTTGCATTTCTTGAAGAGTGTAACTGCATGTTGGAGATCACGAAAATCTCATTCTCCTTTACCAGAGTCATGCTTTAAGTCCTACGTATCAACAAAAAAGCTCAGCAATCTGTGATTTTGAAAATTGATGAAAAATGTGAGCAATATTCAAAATATATTTAATTTCATGGCCAAGTACTCTTCCCAAAAATCTATTTAAGAAGCAGGTATCAAGACATGGAAGCAAGTGTAGCGTTATGCATCAATTTATATCTCTTGGAGCATATAACTACAACAGAGATATTCACATGCATCTCTCTTTTTATGTCTGTGAGATTTGATCTAACTTTTTGTTAAGAGATATCAAAGCTCTTTCTTGTTTCTTGCAGGCTTGGTTATGCGTTTAAGTCACCAAATTATACATGAAGGTGCTGAAGAAGAAGTTATTCATGAATCAGATATATTTACTCACATTCTAAGCATTAGAACCATCTCATAAGTCAATAGCTGACGGAATTAGATATAATGGTCTCGCCGACAATGATATTCCGGGAGGCCTCCATAACCCGTTAAACAAGTAGAGGCTAAGGGGGTGAGGTGTGCCATCTTCATCTCATCTGAGGACAAGGGAGCCTCGATTAATCACAGAAGAGAATATAATGAGCTAAGGCACCAGAAATTAATATGATCTTATTGCCAAGTAATATCATCTTATGTTTATTTTTCACCTCTTATCTTCTGTAATTGTATAATCAAAACATATAGATGTTTTTAATCTTGATTTTTCATGTGGATATATATATATATATATATATAAAATATCTGCACATTCCCTTGTATATAATTAAGTGATACTTGTAGTCTAATAATATATGTGCCAGGATTCAGAAGGTGTTTATGAAAAAGCATTGCCTTCCATAATAGAAAAGCTCAGCCATAAGGAGATAGAAACAGACAACCATTGGAGATTAATCTATCAATGTCGACCAGGATAAGACAGTTTAACTACCATCAACATAATTTTTTTTTTCAAATTTTATTTTATAATTTTTCAAATGTTGAAGGATGTAATATAATGTAATTTATACCACTGAACATGCATTTTTATTCATAGCAAAAAGTTTGATGTGAGTTATATAAATTTTATGTAATGTAATAAATTGCTATAAATTTGATGGAGCTTTCAAGGATGCATGCATGACTATGGCCAAAACCGAAATTCTCCAAATGGAAGTGAGAGTCATTCGAGTTTTAGGATCTCATTTTGGAAATATCTTGGGTCAATGATAGGGTTTAAATAAGTGTATTGAAAATTTGAAATATGTAGACTTTGAAACTTACCAAAACTAACATACTTGTAGGTTTTTGTAGACTTGAAGCCTTCTTAAAGCTTTTGAGGCTTAAATTTTGAAGCATTTTTAAAAGTGTATGTATGAATGGATCTCAAAAAATGTTTGAGGCTATGCAAGGACTATCACAGGTTCAAGCTCGAGCTCCAACTTAAAAAAAAAAAAATGCTTACATGTAGGCCCAAGCTACAAGCGCTTCTTGCGAGTTTAGGCCTGGCTTTTTTCCATTCTTAGATAGGTCCCTCATATTCTTGATTTCGTGCAGCGTGATTTTTTTTTTTTCCCCTAGTTAATCCTTTGTCGATCTTGTATCTATGGAGGAGAAAATTGTAAAAAAAAAAAAAAACAGCTTAATATGGTTTGGATATGTGTAAAGAATGCCATGGAGATGCCAAGGGTGGAACATATTGTTTTAAATTCTATGAAAAGGGGAAGTGGAAGACCAAATAAAAAAAACAATTAAGTTGTTGAATGAGATTTTTTTAATTGGCAATAGGGAAAAAATAAACTCAAAGAAATTGTTGAAATGATAAAAAATTCCCAATTATTTTGCTTTTACCATAAATGTCTAAATAAATGTATAAGGAATTTGTTTGGTGGGTAATTCATTTACTACTTTAATCTAGAATAAACATGAGGATTTAGATATTTGAATTTTGATTTGAGCAAAATTATCCATTTAAATATATAAAATATCTAAGGACTTGGATTTGAGCAGATCAAAAATAATTTCTTATTATAATTTTAAATATAATTTTTAGTCTTTTAAGTTTGTTTCAATTAATCATTTGACACATTTAATATATATGAGTTATTGTTGTTGTTACAATCCTCTGATTTCATCTTATTTTGGATTTGTTGGATTTATTTTTGAATTTGTTGGATTTATTTTCTCTACCGATGATAGGTTTGTGGATTTTACTATTGCATCCAATTGCTTTCTTTAAATAACTTCCTTTCCTTTCCTTTCCTTTGATCTTTCATTGCCTTCTAAAATTGTCCGACGTAGTCTTAATGATTCATGACAATCACAAGTTTTTCCTTCACCTTTTGTCCGTTTGAAGTTTGCTTCAAGTGCTATTTAAAAAGAAGGCTAATGAAAGAAGTTGCCTATTGTGTAACTGTGAAAATGGGGGAAAATTTATACATCAAAGGAATTGTTGAAACGATAAAAAATTCCCAATTATTTTGCTTTCACCATAAATGACTAAATAAATTTATAAGGAATATGTGAGGTGGGTAATTCATTTACTACTTTAATATGATATAAATTTACTCTTAACCATAAATTTTTAATAATTAGCCGTCTGCTTAAAACTAAATTGGAAGGAAATTAAACATGAATAATCAAAGGAAAAAATAATGTTTATAGTATGAAAATTAACATTCACATATGCTTTCATCATCATTCACACTATTTATAGAGTTATATTGAAGGATAGTTACAACATTCAACTATACTTTTGCCATTTTTTGAGCAGGTAATTGTATTATTAGAAAGTATAAGACTCTTGATCTCCTTTAGTTGAGTCACGCTTTAAGTTTTCTATCTTAACAAATTTTAAAAGCTCATCAAACAAGTTGCCTGGTAGTGAAAAAAATTGAGGCAAAATGTGAATACAAAATACTTTGGGAATACCATAATTTCATGTTTCTTGGGCTTATCATCATCATTCACACATCCATATGAGCTTGCAATGAGGGTAATTATTCAAAATATATTTAATTAATTCCTTGGCCCATTATTCTCCCTGAAAATCTATTTAAGGAGTGAAAATTCATTAAGACATGAAACAAGTGTAGCTTCATCTATCAGTTTCTCTAAACCCATGCCAAAGCCTCTCTTCTTAGCCATATTTGAGTTTCTTGTTTAATGAAAGCTCTAAAAATGTATAATACCCTTATAACCATAAACTTGTGTTCAGATGTGAAGAGTATGAGTTTGGTGATTGCATTTAATGGTATTTTTACTCACATTCTGAACATTAAAAGCCTATCAAGGATCACCACCTACTAGAATTGCATGTTGGAGTCATGCGCATGATATCCAAGCAAGCCCTCATATATCAAAGGCAGAGATTGATTTGGGTAATCAGTTATAGCTTCCTTGTCATCCATTCACGGTTCATCCCATCACTAGAGGGAACTCCTTACCAAAAATTTGCTCCTCTATCTTACCTAATAATTAATATACTTTCCTTTGCCTTATTATTGTATATGTGTGTTTTCTTTCTCTTATAATTCATCCAATATGTGTAGTTGGCAATATAAAAAGTTTTGATAAGTTGAATCCTAGGAGCTTATCAGCGCTATATTATACATGTAAATTCAAAGTGCTAACAGAAGTACTTACAAATAGCCAACCAATAAGATCATCATATTAATCATGGGATTTGAACATGTATCCTAATAAGTTAGAGTTCAAATTTTTACTATACGAGCATATTATTGTTGACTTTTTCAAATTTCTTTTAATGTTTTGTTTGGAATGTGAGAGAAAAGTTATTGCTTATGAATTTGGATTAATATATGTCGCTTACTGTAAAATTTTATATTAGATATTGATATTATATATCAATGATTATGTCAATTTTTTATGCCATTCAAATTGAATTGGACAATTTGATTTTCAGGATACACGTGTTAGATTTTTTTATTTTCTTATGAAGCTTTCTTGGATATATGATAATGCCCAGATCTAAATGAATGTCATATAAGAGTTCTGCAAATCATCTTGAGGCTAATATTCATATATATATGTTGAAATGGGCAATGGTGAGTATGAACACCAAGAATGCAAATTTGCTCCAAAATCCAAACTCATTTAAGACCTCAGTGGCTATGCATTTGAGTTCAAGCATGAATACCACATGCTTATGATATTGGCAAAGTGATTGAATGTTGTGTAAGGAGAGCATTCACATTCCTTCAGCTACCAAATAATTGTGGAAGTCGACCCCACCATAGCTACGAACATATGGCTCAACAGAATCTAATTGTTCTATTGCAGTTCTTCCTCCTGCATCAACATGGGGTCTTATTCTATTTCAGGTACCTATATCTTTCTACAGTTTAAAATTGGAGTTTGTAATGCTATTTTAGTAGTTAAGAATTGACATAAATGCGAATGGGTGTTTGATAGATTAATAGAGATGAGATAACAGTAATATGAGCACACCTCATCCACAAGCTTGATAGGATTTGTGGCTTGAGTTTGATGCAGAAATATTTAGATACTACGATATGCATGGAAAAAGCTTCGTAGAGTAGTCAACTAAAGGGAATTCGTTGAGAAAACGAGAGGGAAAAAATATAAACATTTTGGATAATGACAACCAGATATGATTCTTAGGCCTATCATAAAAGTTGGAGTATATGGCTATTTTTTTTTCCTCCGAAAAATGGCAAATGATCAAACGAAACTATAGATGGTGATGATTAAACTAATTTAAGGAATAAATTTTAAAGGCCATTATTGAGTGCATGACCCCTTCAACAATTGTAACGAGAATTTTAATTTGATCGATACGAACAGAAACAATTCAGCAAACGATTGGGATTTACTAAGCAATCATTGATAAACTGCAATGATTAGAATTTATTATTTATTATCATTTCCATAACAGTTGTATGAAAACTTTGGGTTTTCGGTCAATGAAACCGTTGGAATTAAACCTTAATATTTTGTTTATATTAATATGGCAGAATTTGCAATTTTCTGTGATAGTATATTTAATATATATATATATATATATTAGTTTGATGAACTTAATAATTTTCAGAGAATTAAAATATTTGCAATTTGATGATGTCAAATTTGTATTACTATGTGAATTTATTAGTGCATTCAAGTTTGTGGATATTACGTTCAGATTCTTAACTGGCCGAGGGAGATATTGTTAAGTTTTTACGTTTTGAGCAAGAATAAATTGCTTTGATATGATACCATCATTAATATGCTTTAAAGTATCCAAATGTGGGTGCGTGGCATTTTTTTTTTTTACCGTAAAAAAAGGAATTGATTAGGCATCACTTCAAATATCAATGCCATTAATTTGTTGAAATTATATTTCAAATATTTATCATGGCACCATAATATCTCATAATAAAGTTAATTTATTTGATTGATAAAAGTTATCCAATATTCTTTGATTGGATACGTTGCTTTATTTGCCTTTATATTTTAAGATGTAATTACTTTATTTGTTGCATAGCTTATTTAAGTTAAGGTGTGAGATATTTGAGAAGATATATGTAAAATTTGATTTTGGAAATTTGTTGACTACATTAATTTGGTGTAGGCAATGATTATTTTTTTTTTCTAGCTTTAAATAAAAAAATGTTATATATGGTCTTTGCTTGCACTGCTTCGAGCACATGCCAAAAAATAATTTTTGATCATTACACAAATTAATATCTAAAATGTGGGGTTGTGTGTA